CAATCTAGTTGAGGGAATCTCGACGCTTCACTATTTTACATATTATCTTAATTCTCATCATTATTTTCGATGATTTACTACATTTTTATGCAATAAACATATTCACTTCATCAAATTCACGAGAACCCTAAGTTTTTTAACCCCTTGAATCACTTTCCATCTCCTTGTGGATACGACACCCCAAAACTACACTACAACTATCGTGTTATTCTTTGGACGTAATCATGTACCTAATGTCGTATAAAAATGTTGTTCATTTGTAATATTTCATCATCACAAAAAATTTGAGTCATAAAAGTTGAATTTTGAGAGCATAATTTTCTTCTCTTAAAGTATTTCAGAATATCGTGCAATGCACGTTCAACTCTAACTCGTATATACAAATAAGGAACCAAATTTAAATGTGGGTTTCAGATGACACAACTATGTTTCTTCTTCAGTTGTCGTAGTTCAAAAAATCAAGCTTAACGCAATATTCATCTTATCCCATCACCTGATCACCATATGCCCTATAGCATAACGTAAACTATGAATGAGTTGGTTGGATTCAGCTTACAAATATGCCTATTCAATCTAACAAGCTCAGAATTCACTTCTTCAAAGGGCAGAGAAGTTTTATACCAATTATGCAATAACTCTCTTCAATCCATTACCCACTTGTCCTCGTGAGATCAATCATACACATACCCACGTTCAAGTCTGGTTGTCATCTCTTTAGAAAGATTGTGTACGTGTCAGACCTTTAATAAAAAGTGACTTCGATCTGTACGTTGAGGGTGTATTGAAGATGATGTAACGATTGTTGGACATGGGGACAAAAATACCAACCTAGTAGGAGTGTCTAAGCTTCAATATATAAGTTTCTTCTTCTCTAAACAACTTAAATTTTTAGATGATGAGACAGTTTAAGTACTTTCTAGTACAAATGGTAGACAAGTTTACCCCAACTTCAACATGCCTAAACTAAAAATTGAAAGGCCATGCTCTCTACTTTCTAGTACAAATGGTAGACAAGTTTCGATTTGTACACTAGCCCAATATAGTCATATCTTGTCATCTCATGCCGTGTCACAGAACCCATCTACCAATTTTTCTCAATTTATATACTTAGACTTAATAGAACTTGATGTAGTTGGTGCCAAGAGATATAAATCCTACTTATAATGCCCTCTTAATCCGTTCTTCCATTAATTCATTTCGGGAACTAGGAAGTTCATTATCCTTAAATTAGAACGAACTATTCATTTCGGGGCAGTGGCAACCTTTCTTCCATTGAGGGTCATTTCATTCAACACTCAAAAAGTTTGAGATTTTCTAATGAATAGAATTCGTCTAGCTTCTATTCGAGAATCAGTCTTAACATAAAATATCATGACTTTATAAATAATTCTGAGTTGGGATATAACATATATACCTGAAGTATATCACCAATATTGATCACGATAGCACCCTCCACTGGCTCCACATACACCCACTCCTCTCCAACCTTCACCTGCAAACCGGGGACCTCATTCTGTACCAAAACGGTAAGCACGCCCGGATCCGAATGCGAAGTCAACCCGGCCGTCAGTTCGGGTTGTGGGCAATAGGGATAATAATGTGCCGCCATTATCCTCGCCTCCAAACACGACATTTCTTTGAGAACATCAGTATTTCCCAAACCCAATCCTTCGCATAGTAATCCCAATAACTTCTCCCCTATGGCTACGACTTCCTTGTCCCAATCAATTATTGCTTCCTTGCACGAGCTGGGCACGTGGTCCCAGTCCGGCGGGGTGGGGGCGAGGCGGAGCTGCAGCGTGTCCCGCCAGCTCGCCGCCTTTGATATGTAGAGATCGAAGTTTGTGGAAAACGCGGCACCGTGGGCCATATCCCGGCTGTAATATTTCATTTTCTCGCTCTCTGGAAGCTCGTTGAATGAAGTTACGGAATTCAGCAAATGATTAATCGTCGCTAATGGGATTCCGTGGTTAATAATTTGAAAAAACCCGAACGATGAAGCGGATTCTTGGATTTTTTGCACGAGGATTTCCCTGGGAGACGTGAAGTCGATGACCGGAATATTATGTCGGCTCCGGGTCGAATTAGTTGGTGGGTTGGAGGAGTCCGGGTGGACGAAGAAACTTGGTATCGTAGATAAGCCACGGTCTACCAACCCTTTTACACCAATCTTGGATTCATCAAATTCTTTGAGTTGTTTCAATCGATCATAATTCCGATCAGGATCATTTTCTTTGGTGGTTGACATCGTGATTTTTGCTGAGTGAAGTTTCTTGTCTGGCAAGTTCCACCGGCAAAGGTTGAAGAGAGTTGAAGAAATCGATGTTTAGTATTTATAGATAATTTAGACCCATTTGATTTTTAGTCAGAAAAGAAGTTAGTAATAAAATTCTAACTCAAAATTAATAATTAATTTTAATAACACATTTCATCATTAATTCACCGTTTTTATAGATTTTTCAACCAAATATTTCATCAATTTTATTAAAACTTACTAAAATAATGATTTGTAGCAAAATCAAATAGTGGCTTTGTTTAAATAATTAATACGATAATGACCTAATTTAACATGTGTCATTGATCATTGTTTGAGCCATTGTCATCACTATCATGTGGTTTTCTTTAAAATAGAATTATTTTGATCGAGTGTTACCCTTTGTATCTCTTTTTTATCCCATGGCACGAGAGGTCATGAACACAAGAATATGTCGTCGTTGGAGCTTGCCACTTACAGGGGGAGAGCCCAATAAGGTTAGGTTTGCACTAAACTTTCAATCCAATTTTATTTTGAGAAAATTACCTAAAAACAGTTCTTTTTCAGATTACATTTCAAAAATCAGGTGGTAAATACTAATTTTTAAATTAATTACACCTACCCATTCTGGCACGCCGACACTTCTTTTTACCCCATACCTGATTCAAACCCTCCCACACACACACTCTCTCTCTTCCCCAAAAATTAGGCTGGCACTCTCTTACCCAAAAATCAGATCAGCGACTTCTTCGCCACCCTTTAGATTCCGACCACCTACCACTTCTCTCGCCGAAGTTTCGCGAGACCAGTCGCCTACTGAGATTGAGGCATCTCCACACTCTTGCCAGCATCACTAGTAATCTAGCAACAAGTTGAAAGTTTCCAAAGGAGAACGAGAACGAAAAGGCAAAGAGGCGATTGTTCTGGCGCACGGTCAGCATCAACCCTTCCCCACCGGCGATCTTCTTTGCCCTCCGTGCCTCTCCGACTTCGTTGAAGTATACCAAAACTCTAACCCAAGCATACCCGACCCATTTTCCTCGGACCCCCTCTCTACTTTCCTCAGCCACTTCCTGTTACCTTCTGCGTCCACCCGTGTTGTCCTGCAAAACCCGAGAGGATAGCAGAAACAAGGTTCTTCTGCAGCTGCTGAACTGGATGTTGAGAGGCTAAAAGTTGAACAGCAAAGATCTGTGCAAACGATGCAACAGTGGAAGACAATATATGAAAATTTGCATCAGTTCTGTGTGAGTGAGCTTTTAGATGGTAATCATGTTGAAAGTACCAATGGTTGACATTTGTGTGGTGTTAGTGTACGACAAGTTCTGAAGATTTTAGGTATATTATGTGATTGTGATCCAATAGTTAATCTTTTATGAATTATATCTCTATTGAGTCCATTATGAGTTTATATT